TCCTCCTTTTGGGGTATAGTATTTCCAAAAAAGCACTACTCACCTGAGTTTCTACTATCTGGGCTATTCTCTGCTATTGTCCTTGTTATTGAAATCGTGGTTATTATTGTTATTACTGGTGTTATTATTGTTAAGAATTTTCATTGTCATTATTACTTAGGAGGACCCCCCACCCTGTAATAGTGGCATAATAGGAATATAAGAGGACCCTAATATAATCCCTATTATACCCTATAGTCACTATTACTGGGTGGGGGGTCCACCAAACTCTTACTGTTGTTGCAACAGTTGTTTTGAACACGACCGGATGGCGCTCAAAGCTGGCATCCGCCCAGGAGCTGAGTGACGGCTCAGTTTCACAGCTGTTCTTTGCAGCATCCATAACTTGTTTTTAGTCCTACTTCCGGGTTTAGGGCTTTCGGGTTTTGGCTTTAGGGTCTAGGGTTTCAGAGTTTAGGGTATTTAGGGATATCCTAGACCCTAAGCCCTAACCTCTTGGCCCTTTTTCTGTAGGCAGGAGGCCTGCCAGCTTTTGAGTCAACAATCTCAAAGTAGCCTTAAGTCGATGCTGCTGCACTATGAGTGAATTCAGTTGATGCAGTAATCACCTCTCCCTAACGAGAAAATCCCCACCCCGCTGATAATGGATTTTCCCGTATTATAATGCACGCCATATGTATAGATGTATACATCTATATTATATATATATATGTGTATATGTAGGTAGTGGGAATCTCCACTGTCAGGGCGTGGGCCGTGTTATGACTAGGGGGAGGGGATGAGCTGGGATCCGCGACAGCAAGTCTGTTGTACAGAGCTGAACAAGCTGTTACCCGGTGCTTGGCTCTGTTCCGGCTAGTCGGCAACCCTAAACCCTAAATCCATAAACCCTACTAGAAACAGGGACACTAAAGCCTCCATCTGGTAGCATTTTCTGAAGAAGAACACGAGTCGACCACCAAAAAACATCAGCCATCTTGGCAACACAGCTCATCATAGTCATAGAGGAGTTTCTATGAGCCATCCCTGGAAATACAACCTGATGGTGGGCACCTACAATCTTCCAGCCCCACCCCCCCTCCCCCCGCAGTCATGGTAGCCGAGTTTTCTTCATGGTAAGTCTTGCCATGTTGCGGATGGTATGCTTATGACCATCGGGACGGGATGCTGACTCTCAACAGGATAAGACAACGAGGAATTAGCCACATTACAACACATAATGTTTAGTGTAGAACTGGGTAGGCCCCTGGGATATTCAATATTTTCCCTAATGGCTTTAATAGGGGACCCTACATTTTAACATATTCCAAAGGGTTTTAGGGGCCAACCCAGAGAAGCTTCTGAAACTAACAACACTATTCCCAGCAGTGATTAGCCTTTCTTTCGGCACGTAGATGGTGCTTGAGGAGGCCCGCTCTAATCATTGAAGCCCTCAATGTTGAAATCTGAATCCTAATCCCTACACCCTAAAATCCCGAAGTATTAAACCTATACCCTAAACCCTACAGCCTAGAAACCAAACTCTTAAACCTATACCCAAAACACCAAAATCTACAAAAATGCCGGAGTCAGTAGTCCAGAAGGCCGCAGGGTCCACGCCCTTGACCTTGCTTCTTGCAAGTAGGGATGCAGGGAATAATGGAAAAGAAAATGGAAACTACTACATTATAATAGGGTATGTATTGGGGTTTTATAGGGATGATGGAAAAGAAAACGGAAACTACAATACTATAAAAGGAGAGAGAGATATATACATATATGTATAGGTTTGGGTTTTACGCCACAAATCAGGTTGTAGGGTTTAGGGTGTAGGGACCCACCAAAGATTAGAAATGAACAGGCCCCCAGTCTCGAATGAAATCGGTCTGGGTGCCCTGGGGGTGTAGTTTATGTCATGGTCCCCCTTAAGTAGATAGAATATGGGGTGTATGGGGATCTAATTACAATATACCCAAAGCCATATTCTATCCACTTAGGGGGGACTATAGGTGATTCTAGGGGTGTTCACGCCTCATCCCTAAGGAGATCCAGTCCGGGGAATGGAGGGGAACCATCTAATAGCCCCAATATGAGCTATGGTCTAAACTCCTTAAAGGGGGTATATAGGGGGTTTTATGTTACAAGGGATATTAAGGAGGATACTCAGAGTGTAGACTATAGCTCATATAATCCCAATAGTATACTTTCCATTTTCTTGTCCATTCCTCCATTCCCTACTACAAGAGGCAAGTGACTGCTTTGAGCTGAAAAGTGCGCAGAAACTCTGCGGTTTCAGGGCTGGTCTCCACAAAGCTGAATGCTATCTGAAAGACTAATTCTATACAAGCTATAGTCTAAATTCCTAGTTTCCCCTTAAGAGCTCCTGTACTACTCCCCTGTATAATCCCCTAGATAACCCCTTTAAGGAGTTTAGATTACAGCACATATGGGAATCCGTCGTTCCCAGGCTTAAAAGCAGTTGCCAGATTGTTGTCAGTCAGGTTTTCTAGCTTTGAGGTTTGCTATCTCTGTTTTCCTCCAGTTTGCGTTTTTTGTGGGCTTTGCACCCTTTGCCAAGTACATGGCCACCTATTGTGAGCTAAGGATTGTAGATTTTGCGGTGTAGGGTTCACGGTTTGGAATGAAGGGTTTAGAGTGTGGGGTCTAGAATTTAGAGTTTACGGCTCAAAGGCCCAGATCTAGTCCCAAACTCAATGTTATACCCCAAGCAACCCCACTATGCACATGCATATATGAGCTATAGTGTAAACTCCTAGTATCCCCCTTAATATATATAACCCCCCACATAACCCCCTTGAAGGAGTTTAGACTATGGCCCATATAGGCGCCCAATGACAGTTGTTCGGCACCAAGCCCTAAGCCCTAAATCCAAAACCCTGAAGCCTAGCCCTATAGTCCCCCTTAAGTAGATAGAATATGGAGTATATGGGGATTTTACTATAATATTCCCAAAGCCATATTCTATCTACTTAAGGGGGGCTATAACCCCTGAGACGCTAAACGCTGTATAAAGCGCATAACTCCTTCAACCCTAAACCCTAAACCCTAAACCCTAAACCCTAACCATGTTTTTGCTCAGCAGTGCCCCATGTGGGAGGCGTTTGAGGCTGTCAAGGATGTCAGTTGCGGAGGCGCTCGGGTGGGGTTATATAGCGGCTATACACGGGTGTATAGGGTTTAGGGTTGATGGGCATAGTACCCAACAATGGAAGAGTCAATGAAAAAGAGAATGGAACATGAAATGGAAACTACTACTATAGGTTACGTAGCAGGCATATACGGATATCGAGTTAGATATTTCACCAACTATGGAAGACAAAGGAAAAGGAAACGGCAGCTGGGATTATCTAGAGGATGAAAGATGTTTCGAGCGAGGTGCACAACCCAAGGTGTGACCAGGCTTTGGGTTAAGGGTTTTGGGTTAAGGGTNNAGGGTTTAGGGTTATTGGGGGTTACGCAGAGAGTACTTCAGGATGCATGGCGATCCCACATTGGCACTCTGGAGACTTTGCATTGGCATGGAGCTGAAAGATTCAGAAGGGCGGTTGTTTGGGGTTGTTTTGCAGGACGTCATTGTTACTTTGGAGATATGTAGATCGCAACCCAAATTTTCCAATTTGGGGAAGCATTCGTATGTAGGTTGCCCTAGAGACTTGCAGGAGCATGGACGTGAAGCCCGTCGCTCCCTTCGGCACAAGAAGAGGGAGGCAGCGTGATCTGAAGTTTGGAATTTGTAAAACTTCCAATTACTGTGTATCATAATCATGGTCAGTTAGGATCTGCAGGTAGGTGTCGCTTTTTGGAAGGGTTGATGGGGATGTATTCAGGTTTCTCGAGGTATGGGTATGGGTCTGGGGCCTCGTCGCAGGAAGACTGAATTTTGATACAGACCTACAAGAACTAAGCACCATACCAACTCTTTGATGTGCTTTGGCGTCCACTTAAGGAGCTTCAGTCTTATAGCGGACCCTAAACCCTAAAC